CCCCTGTCCCCGCCCGCTAATACAGCGCCCCTGTCCCCGCCCGCTAGTACAGCGCCCCTATCCGCCCGCTAGTACAGAGTCCCTCCCAGCCCGCTAGTACAGCGCCCCTCCCCGCCCGCTAATACAGCGCCCCAGTCCCCGCCCGCTAATACAGCGCCCCTGTCCCCGCCCGCTAATACAGCGCCCCTCTGCCCGTAGGCCGACAGCAGTATCTACAAGGACGCCAAGCGGCTGGAGGAGTTCTTCGACGCGCAGCTACTGAAGTGGCTGCCGGAGTACGCGTACTGGTCGGGTGACGGCGAGCCGCCCAGCAAGCGCGCGCGCCCCGACCTCGCCCTGCCCGCGCCGCACTAGTACTGCATGGGGGACTGACCTCGCCCTGCCCGGGCGCACTAGTACTGCATGGGGGACTGACCTCGCCCTGCCCGCGCCGCATTAGTACAGGGTGGGGTACTGACCTCGCCCTGCCCGCGCCCCACTAGTATTGGGTGGGGGACTGACCTCGCCCTGCCCGGGCGCACTAGTACAGGGTGGGGGACTGACCTCGCCCTGCCCGGGCGCACTAGTACAGGGTGAGGGACTGACCTCGCCCTGCCCGGGCGCACTAGTACAGGGTGGGGGACTGACCTAGCCCTGCCCGGGCGCACTAGTACAGGGTGGGGGACTGACCTCGCCCTGCCCGGGCGCACTAGTACAGGGTGGGGGACTGACCTCGCCCTGCCCGGGCGCACTAGTACAGGGTGGGGGACTGACCTCGCCCTGCCCGCGCCGCACCAATACGCGGCGTCTTCTGTTGTGAAAGTTCCTTTTGATTAGTGTTGTTACCGCCGACGCGCCGGCCGGACTATTGTTTACTGCGCGACATGTTATGTTTACTGCATTGCCTCGCCGTTCACTGTTCCGAGGCGACCGACTCGACTGAAATTGAATGATATTATGTTATAGCGCAGTGGTGCGGCTCTTACTTTATTCTAGGTTCAAAATAAATATATTCAATAATGTTTCAAGGCGATGATAGAATCGATTACCAGAGGGCTTAGTACGCATTTGTTTTACGCTTAACGAGGTCGAAACGTTTAGCCTACGTTTAGCCCTCTGGTTGGTTGGTTCACTGGAGCAGCCAATCAAAGCGTTTCGATCTCGGTAAACGTAAAACAATAAAGTAATATTATATTTTAGTTAGGTGCGTTTACTTATGTCTCCAGTGCTACTGCCGGTACCGGTAGCACATTGAGTTTTCCTACGCTTCACACAGGTCAAACTAATTAATTGTATATCTTGCTTCACTCCAACACATTGTACAGTTATACATTACGATTATGAAGGTACCATTCCTTAGAAAACTTGAATGTTTATGTTACAAAGGTATTTTTATATATTAATACATAGTTAGCATAGTGTTATATATTCTAATAAATAAATATGTTACAATTTATGACAAAAAGTAGGATAAGGTTGTGTCAAAGTTGTACTCTCTAAATATCATCTTGGATTATTTAAGTATAAGTAATGGAGCGTCAAATGATACGCTGCGCGAGTGTATGACGTCACGCGGTATAAGGAGCAAGTAGAAGTATGCACGTCGCGTCCTGGCCGGGCTGTTACTGTAAATAGCTGAAAATGTCATCATGTTTTAAATTAACTGCGCATTGCTTCTGATCCTAAGTTCAAACTCCAAATTGGGCATACATGTATATTACAATATTTTAACTTACCTTTTAGACCTTTATATATTACGTATAAGCCTATTATGCGAGGGCGGCACAGTTGAATGATTACAACACTATATTTCGAGTAGGCATGACGACCTTAAAAACGCATGATTTTTAATGTCGATCAAGAAGAGGGAAGAGTTGGTGTTTGGCAGTAATTAAAATTTTATTAGATGTCAAAATTCACCGACACGTTAATACCCATTAATTACCCTTAACATTTTAACATGATAGACTAAATAAAAAACGTAAATAAATCTTTACTTTTTTGTATCTTTTGTTAATAAAATGTTCCTTGACACATTCTTATTTATATTAACTGACCTATGTATTTCGTCATTACACAAATGATGACAAAAATTCTATAAAACTATTTATGAAATAATTCTTAGTTCGGCACTGAAGACGTCTTTGATTTATAAAATGGCGGTCAAAAGGCAGCAGAACTTGATACTTTGCATCAAAGTAACATTAACATATACTTGTTTATTATCAGCTGGGATGTTGAAATATTCATAGCACTTCCTCTTGTTTCGTATATTCGGTATGGCCCCGTGGCGAGTGGCGACGCCTAAATGATACACGGGAATGTGCTTATTGTTTTTTTAAATGTAAAATCTAGTTAGTACACGGCCGGAGGGACTGAGCCTCTTCTTATATTTATAATCTCCTGATAATAAGTATTATTGTATTAGAAATAAAACACATTTATTGGAATTAGTCTTTTATATTTAATTCTCCCAAAATACATTATTTTTAACCAACTTCCCGAAAAAAAAGTGATCTGTATTATGTATCCGCAATTATCTCGCGATTGGCTGAACCGATTTTAATGCAGTTTTTAGAAAAAAATATTTTAACACTTGGAACAGGTTTCAGTAGATAAACCGAATTTAGAAAATTGAGGTTTATTTGACGCAGTTTATTAAAATCATGTTTCTTTGAATGTTATCTATCTATATATATAAAAGAAAGTAGTGTTAGTTACACCACTTATAACTCAAGAACGGTAGAATAGATTTGGCTGAAAATTGGTAGGGAGGTAGCTTAGAGCCAGGAGACGGACATAGGATACTTTTTAACCAATACTTTTTTTTACTTTTTACCGAAAATCACGAACGGGTACGGGAAACAATGGGATTACGCGTACGAAGTCGCGGGCAGAAGCTAGTTCAATATAGATTTTAAGCGGAGTGTTCTCCGTCATCGAGTCGTCGAGTGTCATTGTCAGCTGTCACGTAAAGTAATTTGACATTGACGTCGTACGTCCGAGCGTGCAGTGTCAGACAGACGTCAGTGTCGCGCCGGCCAGTCACCAGTCGCTGTTATCACTCGCAATCACTCGCAAGTGGCGTTCTAAACAAAGCGGCTGTGTTTTGTTATTGTAGCCCGCAGACTACTGGCTGGCCCTCACTCAGTGGCCCACACTGGCACAGCCGGCACCGCGCGCCGCCCTCGGTGACCTTCACGCGCCAGAGGTAAGTGACCGCCGGACATTCAGGTTGTTGACTTTTCGCAAAGGCTAAACTTTAATACCTATATCGGGCATCTTAGCAATGTTAGTACCTATATAGCACTACATAATACTACGGCACAAGAAATTACGTATAGTGTCTACAAAATATCGAGAGTTCCGCACAATACCTAGGTACTTAGTAATAACTCGAAGCTAGGACCGGTCGCCGGTCACCACGTAGTTCCTGCAATCCTGCTACACGCTACCCAGAAAACGTCATCACATGAACTATACACGTACCAGCCTACCTATAATAAATTAAGTATTTAGTTTTCGTTGTTGAGAACAAGCTTATTAGATAATTTCAGTTCATTCTTTTTATTTTTTATAATTCAAAGTTCAAACATCCTCATATACATGCTCATACCTACGAAGAATACAAACAGAAGTGCTACTCGTTAAGGAAAACTTCAGCAAATTACCTATTATCTGGGTATGTACGAAGAATATTTTGAATGCAAGTTACCTGTGCTTTGAGCACCTCAAGCATATAAGTGAGGGTGGCATTCCATTGTCCTGTAGTACTCGTACAGGACCTGTACGAGGTACGACTGCTCGAAATGCCGAGCCTCTGAGATAACGTCACCACTCGCTCGGACACTTATCCATATAATATACTATCTGTACATATTATTACTTATAACGTATAATATATCTATACTGGGCAAATTGTTGTTTTCATTGATATTTAGGTCGACGGCACCTTATCATCACCACTTTGTTTGTTTGTACATGTACAGCAATTGTAAACAGTAGGTACTCGATGAGTCGATGGCTAGAGCGCGGCTGCGCGAGCTTCGTACCTACTTACAGTTCAATGATACTCGCAACGCCTTATTATCAACGGACTACAGTTTCGGATTGTTGTGAGAAACGGGGCAGCAGTGCAGTCAACATATTTCATAGATTTACATTCCAGTCAAAGTCTAATTAAATCTGTCCAACATCAATACATTTTCAACTTTATAACGAAACATCAAAGTTGATATCGTGCCGTAAACAGTTTGACAGATTAATTAAAACAGAGTTTGTATACGTGTTGATGTTTGTACCTATCCGTACCTACTGCAGCGATGCCTGTCTGTACTGTCCAGTAAGAGTCTTGAATAGGTAGAAACTGCGTCGCTAGCTCGTATGACATTGGGTTGGAATCCACCACTATATTTACATGTTCTTTTTCCACTACAGTCCACAATCCACATCCACAATTTATTTATTTATTTAGAAAACCAACAGCGATACATTTGATATAATACAAAATAAAGATATTACAGTTTAGTAAGGCTAAACTGTAACTGTGGCTAACAATGTGGAACCAGGCCTCCGTCACTCTGGGCTCGCTGTAATTGCAACGGTAAGTCCCCTCTTTGAGGAGTGGCTTGAGAGACGCTACGGCGCCTGAGCATACGATGGCGGTGTGTTCTGCGTGGACTGAGCACCGCCATGTCCTCAGGAATGTGGTCGGCGACGGCGACCTCTTGCGTCCGGCTCTGGTTCCAGACTATGGTACGGAGCGAGGGGGACTGGGATGCTGTCTCCTCCTTCTGCGAAGCAGTCATGCTAGCTAAGGAGGAGGCGGAGCGCGTGAGGGAACGAACCTCCTCACGACCCGGTCGTCGCGAGAGACACTCCGGGCGTCGGGGATCGCGAGACGATCTTCAGCCACCGTAAGCACGGGCCTGCGGACGGCGGGCACGGGTGACTCGCCGCCCGACCAGAACCAGGCCCGAGCGTACGGCGCGTCGCGTTCCGCGCGCGCCTCAAGGACCCATCAGACCACCACAGATGGGACCTAACAGGGCTGATGCCGATACTGAGCCGCGGAAGACTTAGACGACGCTTAGGTGATATAAAGTGGTCATGTGGGTGGTTTGGATATTAAGCTAACGTGAGTAGTGTTACCCCGAATTTTACACGAGCAAAGCCGCGGGCAAAAGCTAGTAGTTTATAAATGATATAATTTGAAACTGACACATAAAAGTTAGAACATATTCATAGTTCTCAATAATTCATACATAGCACAAAGAGTTAGGGTGATTTATTTTTATCGAAGAGGCAGCCCTGCCATAGCTTTTGAATCGCGCGGTGCGAAGCAATCACAACTATACCACTGTAATATTATCATACAGTATTCCAACTTCATACAAACGGACGAAACTCAAGCTACGCCTACGCGCCTCGATCGTGGCATGCATTCAGTATGATAATGATAACAGTTGCGAATGTGCCGCAGTGACGAACGGGCTGTGTTGTTTTTTTTTTAACATTAATCGCGCGATTTTTTCACAAAAAATAAGTTCAAGTACATAATTATTTAATATGGCGAGTAGGATATATTGTGCTGTTTTTGGTTGTATTTTTTTGCAAATATTTTCGGTCGCAAATTTATAAGCCCGATTTGATTTTCAAATAATAACATGTTTTTTTAAAGTTAAGTCTACCAATCAAAAAGCAACACGCATTTTTATTGAACAAAAAAAAAAAAATATACAAAGTATTTTATTTGTTTGTGTAAAAAAAAAAAAAAACTAAATAGAAACAGAAAGTAGGCAACTGTAACTAAAATACTGGATACCATAGATTATACACTATAACTGGAACTGGAGACGGGCAGCCCTTACGGACGTTTACGTACCGCGCGTCTGTACGTATTTAACTCTGTCATGGGGCCGAGTTACAATACTGTATGATAATATTACCGTGACTATACGCTTGAAGATTTAGGCTCATTTTAGCATGCAGGGGTTGCTGACGCGACGGAGTAGGCTATTAAACCAGTAGTTATTGGAAATTTTGTATTGAGTGATGTATGAGTATCTGTTACGTAGTACCTAACTATTAAGTAATTTGCTGTGGTGGAACTACAAGTCGAACGTCTTGTCCTACTGACGGAGATTAGGTTTTTGTACTGACAGACGATGACGACGAACTAAACGATGTACTTACAAACTGAAATAAAGTACAAATATTGTATTAACTATATGCCCACAGATATCATAGACATCTTGTGTCTTTAGCAAGACTTGAATTCTGACCAAGGACCACGGATACAGGCTGATTTTTTGTATCGATTACCCGAGGTTCCTATTGTTTCTGTTTATTTTTCCATTCAGGTTATTCTGTCTGTTATATTTGAACAGACCACAGAGTTAACAGGCTCTTACAGGAGTTAAAAACTAGACAGTCCGATCATGCTGGGCTCTTTGTATCAAATGAAAAGTGCTAGTCGATTGTTTTATAGAGACGTACGACTGGCGAAGTAGTACAGCAGCTATAGCGCGACAGAACCATGCGTTTGATAATATTGGAGGACGCCAGCGTGGTGGCGGACTGGGCGGCGCGGTTTGTGCTGCAGCGCATCACACAGTTCGCGCCCGGCCCCGGCCGACACTTCGTGCTGGGGCTGCCCACCGGAGGCACCCCGCTCGGCATGTACCGCCGTCTCATCGACTTCTACAAGGAGGGGCGCATCTCCTTCAAGTATGTGACCACCTTCAACATGGACGAGTACGTCGGTTAGTATTAAACTGTTACAACTAACCATTCTGCCAACTTCGTTATGGTCATACATACAAGCTATTCGAACTAAAACTAATTGTTCTACTTGGTCCTACTAGTACAATGTCTTTTGTGACAGGTCTGCCCCGCGACCACCCGGAGTCGTATCACTACTACATGTGGAACGAGTTCTTCAAGCACGTGGACATTGAGCCCAGCAATGCGCACGTGTTGGACGGGAACGCGCCCGACCTCGTGGCAGAGTGCAAGCGTTTCGAGGACCTCATCGCGGCCGCCGGCGGAGTGCATCTCTTCATTGGAGGTACGGCACGTGGCCACTGACTGCACCAACACAGGCATAGTATGACAGCGGAGCGTTATGTGCAGGTATCGGGCCGGACGGGCACATCGCGTTCAACGAGCCGGGCTCCTCGCTCGTGTCGCGCACGCGCGTCAAGACGCTGGCCTACGACACACTCGAGGCCAACAAGCGCTTCTTCGGCAATGACATTAGCAAAGTGCCGCGCCAGGCACTCACTGTAGGCGTCGGGACTGTCATGGACGCTAAAGAGGTGCCCGCTTTATTACTTATTTTGTAAAAGCTTTCTCCAGACTAAAGGTACCTTTAACGACGCCGTATTACATTACGGCTAGCCATTAAAAAAAAGCAGGGTTGTTTTGGGATACGAAACGTTCTACAGTGTGACGACACACGTTTAGCCTCATTGTAATTTTTTACAAATGATGGTCTGGGAGACCATCGTCATATTTTGTAGTATTAAAATGAAACGTTATTCCAAGATGGCGGCTATAGAAAGTTATCTGCATAGTCGTCATGGGTGACGTTCTCGTGGTTTTTGGCGGTGAAAAAATTTATGGTGCTGTCAAAGTATGGGAGAGCCATGCTTCTGCACGAATTGGTCGGCTCGAACGGCCTCACAGAAAACTGACGTGAAGCAACACTTGCGTTGTGTTTCGTCGTGTGAGTGAGGTTATCGGAGGCCCAATTATCCTCCTTCCCTTCCCCAACCTCCCCAATCCCCAACGATCCTCAAACTCCTAGTCTCCAAAAGGCCGGTAATGCACTTGTAACGCCTCTGGTGTTCCAGGTGTCCATGAGCGACGCCGATTGCTTACCATCAGGTTCTTCTTCTTCTTATAGTGCCTCTTCAATGTTGAAGGTCGGCCGTCAGCTTCTTGTATTTCTCCTTGTCGGTAGCCATGCGGAACAATTGTTCGACAGATGTAATGCCGGTCCACTCCCGGATGTTTCGCAGCCACGATTTTCTTCTGCGCCCAGCACGTCTCTTCCCCTCCACTTTGCCCATCATGATCAGTTGAAGCAGTGAATATCTATCGTGTCTAAGCACGTGACCGAGATATTCGATTTTTCGCTTTTTGATGGTCAGCATAATTTTCCGGGTCATTTGGACGCGCTGTAGCACGGATTCGTTGCTGACCCTTTGTGTCCAGCTGATTCGGAGCATACGACGGTAACACCACATCTCGAATGCATTTATACGTCTCGTAGTGTCCTCCTTCACGGTCCATGCTTCACATCCGTACATGACTAGAGGCCAGATGTAGCAGAAGAGTAACCTAACTCTGAGCTTAATGTTTATTTGACGACAACACAGAACTTTCCTCATTTTGTTAAAAGATGCTCGGGCAATTTCTATCCGGGTCTTAATTTCTTGATCTGATTCCCATACTTCATTTACCCAAGCACCGAGATACTTGTATTGTCGTACTCGTTCGAGTGGTTTGCCATCTATGTTTATAATTGGGTCAAGATCAGGATTTTTGGAGACAACCATCAACTTGGTTTTACTGATGTTAATAGACAGACCGGCTTTCTCGCTTGTCTCGTTGACTTTATTTACAATTGTCTGTAAGTCACGTTCCGAAGCAGCAACAAGAACCGTGTCATCTGCATATCTCAAGTTGTTTACCAGCGTGCCATTAATCTTTACTCCAGCATCGAGGTTTTCTAATGCTTCAGACATCACGGCCTCTGAGTAAATATTGAAGAGCATCGGCGAAAGAACACAACCTTGACGAACTCCGCGACAAATCTCAATCGGCTCGGTGTCTTCATTTTCTACTCTTATTGTTGCTACTTGTTTGTCGTACAGATTGCGGATTATCCTGACGTCTTTGCCATCCAGCCCAATATCTGACAGGTGGCTGATAAGTTGTTGGTGTTTGACACGGTCGAAAGCTTTTTCATAGTCGATGAAGCAAAGAAATACGTCAGTCTGCATGTCTCTGCACTTCTGTACGAGAACATTGAGAGCAAATAGAGCTTCCCTGGTTCCGACACCGGAGCGAAATCCGAACTGGCTGTTTCCCAAATGTTTGTCACATTTTGGTCTTATTCTGTTCTGTATGATGTTTAAGAACACTTTTAGTACATGGCTCATAAGACTAATCATACGATATTCTCCACATTTTCTACCTTAAGGCTGCTGAAGCCTCCACCAACAAGTTGCCTGGTCAGGTGTATGGTTATACCGCCATTGCTCGGTCGCCAGAGCCTCGTCCGTTGTCTAGCAGGGAGCACCACGCCAACCCGTTTGGTTGGCGCCACTAGCTATTCTGAGAAGAACCACCAGTGCAGGGCAGGTGAGGTTGACGATAGGGCCGGATAGGTGTTGTGCTCCGTTCTCCCCTTACTCCCCCATCAGGTTACCATCGATGATTTATGAAAAATATTATCTGGAATGACATTACAAACGATTTTGTCTATAGACTCATACATCAAAATCTCAGTCCGTACTGAGTTATGAGCGTTGAAAGGAGTTGGAGTCGAACATTTTATATTGCTATTTTTATCACAATTCCTGACTTTACATTACGCGCCACTGTACGCCTGGCACAGGTACACCATATCACACCACAATATGGATGATATGCCAAGCACTAATTTTTGTCAGCTATTTTCTCTCAGTCGATAACTTATGGAATGCTTCAAAGAGGTGTGTCATGATCGTCTCTCTTCATCCGACATTGCGGGTTGTGTCTTTCACAGCAATGAATGACGTATGTAGGGACAGTCCACTCTACTTGCTATCATTGCCAGAGCGGTATTGGAGCTGGCCCGAACCGTGCGCACCAAGGCAGCACCTCTTTTAATCGTTAGCATAATCTTTTGGCGAAAAGGAATCATTCGCTGGTTGTGAAGTGATGGACGATACGTCAGATGAGGGCACAGTTTGTTTTTAATATTTTGGTGATTCATTATTCATTATAGGCATTACCCGAATTGCGAAGTAGGTAGGCTTTCCTCTTAAAGTTGAAATTTGCTATATAAACATTTTCGCTAATATTCATTTAATATACATATTTGATGAGCGGTGCCGCGGCAGCGGCCGCCGAGCGCTATATCATTTTCTGCTTTTCAAATCTTTTCATACACTGGGGGGAGGAAAACCTACCTACTTCGCAATTCGGGTAATGATAGGAACGATACGTCGGGTCAGGTTAGGAATAGGGTTACGTTCGGAATAAATATCAATTAATTTTTCAAATCCCTAACCTAACCCACCACTTATTCCTTGAAATTGTTTAAAAAATTTTTTTACAAAATATATCTGACATATGTAAATGAAGACATATGTATGCGTTGTGTACGGTCCCCATCCACAAACAGAATAATATAGCACTATTTTCACATCTTTGAACTGATAACTCGGTTCGGACTGAGTATTTGATACATATATACAGAGTCATAACCATGCAGAATAACATTACAAACAAAAAAATATACAGTTTTTTGTTTGGAATGTTATTGTACATCAGTTTTTACACATCCGATCAAATGCCGCGAAAAAATAAAAAGGCACCAATCTCCATACAAAGGGCATTGACTAAAATTGGTGCCTTTCTTTTTTCTGGCGGCAGTCGATGATTTATGGAAAATATTATCTAGAATGATATTACAAACGAAATTGTCTATGGGCTCATATATGGTAATCTCAGTCTGGACTGAGTTATGAGCGTTGAAAGGAGCTAGGGTCAAACATTTTACTTTGGATTTTTTATTCAAATTATTCATATTTTTGTCACAATTCCTAACTTCAAATTGCGCGCCATTGTACGCCGGACACAGGAACACCATATCACACCACAATACATCCATATTGCCAGGCACTAATTTTTATTAGCTATTTTCTCTCAGTCGATAACTTGTAGGATGCTTCTAGGAGTTATATCAGGAAGCTTCATGAGCTTCAGTTGTCGTAACAGTGGTGGGTTGGGTAGTGGTAGCCGTCCAAACATCTAATAAAGTTTTTTTTTGCCGTTGACTCCTGGTGGGAGACTCATCTACTTTATAGTTAGCATAATCTTTTGGAGAAAAGAAGCCGTCGACTTTGTAAAGTGATTGACTATACGTCAGATGAGCGCATAATTTTTTCATGTAATGTGATCAGTCGTAATATAATCCATCACTTTGTGACTGAATGACGATATCTTTGTACAGAATCTTATGCTAGCTGTCGATTAAAGTATTAACTGTAGTTAGATTAGTTACTAATCCGGAGTAAGTCGGAAGAAGTAGACAGAAAAAAGATTTTTTCAGTTTTGACGACTGCCGCTGCTCAGTCCGCTACCGACGCTGCAGCTGACAAACATTGCTATGTTTTCATGATAGGGCTCAGTAAAGTATTTTGCGAGTTTTCGACTGAGAGGAAATTGATCATGAAAATCTGTCGTAGGCCATAAACCGTATAGTTACATATAAAGTGAACACACTAGCCAATCAAGCGAAATGTTTTTTTTACGTCAGCAGTAGCCAGTTAATGGTTCACTCGGTTCTGATTAAGTGGCATTATAAAAAAAAAATGTAAAAAAGTTCACAATAAACTTTATTATATTCCTTGAAATCGTTTATAAACATTTATTATATAAATATTTCTGACAAGTAAATGAAGAAATATACGTTGTGTACGGTCGGTTATCAACAAAATAACAGGAATAATATGGGCTATGGCACTATTTTCACATCTTTGAACTGATTTAACTCGGTTTGGACTGTGTTTTTGATATAAGACTCTATATATTTTTTTGTTTGTAATGTTATTCTGCATCAGTTTTTCCACATCAAATACACATACAAATTTGGTCATTGTCATTTCGTGCCACCATCTAAGATTTACATTTTGACAGAACCATCAGTTTTATTACCCTTGAAAACCACAAGAACAACATCCAATAATAAAACAAAATTATTTCGTCAAGCAGCGCCACGCGTGTTAAATTGTATACCTAACTATAAATTGGGCATATTGACCACTCTATTACATTACGGCTAGCAATATTGAAAAATACTTATCTCCGAAAACTATACAGCTTATTTTGAATCAGCCTTATTCAATTCAATTAATCGTTCAGCCGTTGTATTATAAAATGCCCCTGTTTTGCTAACGGCCAGCCGTAGTGTAATAGTACGGCGGATTACACAATCCACCTGCGATATAAACGTAGTAACAAGTGTCGGTTTCCTGTTACGTTGTTGCGACGCAGGTGATGATACTGATCACCGGCGCGCACAAGTCGCTGGCGCTGGCCAAGGCGGTGGAGGAGGGAGTGAACCACATGTGGACCGTGTCGGCCTTCCAGCAACATGCGCAGGCGCTGTTCGTGTGCGACGAGGACGCCACGCTCGAGCTGCGCGTCAAGACCGTCAAGTACTTCAAGGTACGTATGTATTGCAGGCCGGCTGGCGGCGGCCGCGGCTAGTAGTGACGCTGTGTCTGTGCAGGCGCTGAGCGAGGAGCACCAGCGGATGATCGCCGGCGTGCCCGTGCACGAGCAACGCGTGCTGCACTGACTGCACCGCCACTGCAGGGCGAGCTGCACCGACGGCACCGCCACTGCAGGGCGAGCTGCACCGACTGCACCGCCACTGCAGGGCGAGCTGCACTGACTGCACCGCCACTGCAGGGCGAGCTGCACCGACTGCACCGCCACTGCAGGGCGAGCTGCACTGACTGCACCGCCACTGCAGGGCGAGCTGCACCGACTGCACCGCCACTGCAGGACGAGCTGCACCGACTGCACCGCCACTGCAGGGCGAGCTGCACCGACTGCACCGCCACTGCGACACCGCGCCCTCCATTGTTTGTGGTCCCCGACCACATACGTCGCTTGACTTACAAATATAATTGTAACGAAAATAAGCATCGATAGCGAAGTATCTTAAACTTTCATATTATGTACATAGGCACTATAACACTTTTAAATTAAATGTTATCATAATCTTTACTTTCGTGCCTTATGTTATGGTCAAATTGAAATAACTTTGATGAGCCGCAATAGCGGTGCAGTATGTGGTGTCGCAGTAGCGGTGCAGTAAGTGGTGTCGCAGTAGCGGTGCAGTAAGTGGTGTCGCAGTAGCGGTGCAGTAAGTGGTGTCGCAGTAGCGGTGCAGTAAGTGGTGTCGCAGTAGCGGTGCAGTAAGTGGTGTCGCAGTAGCGGTGCAGTAAGTGGTGTCGAAGTAGCGGTGCAGTAGTGCAGTAGTGCAGTAGTGCCGCAGAGCCGCGCTAGTAACGTGTGGCGGTTGTTGCAGAGCCTCATGACGGAGCACAACAAGCTGCTCGAGATACTCGCGCGGTGACTCGGCCAGCCACTCGGGGACCAAACCATTTATGCTGTATATATATATATTATAATAAATGTAATGAGGTATTGTCATTAATAAAATAAATATTGTTTCACATGAATTACTTTTTATTTACACCTTAATATTTACTTATAATATACAAATTGATCACATTTATGTACATTCAGTCAAAAAAGTATCGGGAATGGATAGTTTGTTTATGGTTCCAAATCCAAATTTTTGTTTTTTTGTAGTTGTTAGATTGGCACAACTGTTTTCCATTTTGGCGCGGAGTCTGAGTTGCATCTGTTATTTATCTATACTAATATTATAAAGAGGAACGATTTGTACCTATTCTTGTATGTTTGTAATGAATAGGCTCAAAAAGTACTGGGCAGATTTAAAACATTATTTCACCAATAGAATGCTACATTCTTCCAATTTGACATAGGATACATTTCATTTTGAAAAAAAATTAGGGATCTTTGGTAAAATTTGAATAATGTAACCGAAGGTGTAGAAAAATGAGTCTTAAAATGTCTTTCGTCGAATGCGCTGCCGAAAATATTAGCGATAGAACAAAATAATGTACAACAATATTGAAGAACATCCTAATGTCTACAAAAAACTCCGCGGTAGCATATGTCTAACTATTGTAGTTATGTCAATAAAACAATCCAAATTTCCAAAAATAAATAATTGTCTACCCGGGACGGGCTGCTAGTATTAAATAAAATGCTGGTTTTAGTAATATCATATTATTATATAGTGTGTATTGCGAATTTCACAATGGACAAAAATTTCAAACAAAGAGTTGGTCTTAAATTTTACATCGCCAATGGAATTTCGTGTTCGAAGTCACTGAAAATGTTAAAGGCTTACGGTGAATCGACTTAATCAAAAACTCGAGCTTATGAGTGGTTCAAAGCGTTCAAAAGCGGTCGAGATGTGATGGAAGATTTGCCTCGCTCTGGTGGACCGTCAACGTCTGCATAAGGAAATAGCGACTGAAAATCCTCATTCAACTCTGAGAGAGATAACCGCCGAACTTTCTGTATCTCACGAGTCGATCTGTACCATTACAATAGAATAATTTGTTTGCATTCAATGTAGTTCCTGGTACATTCTACCATAGGCATGCAATTTTTTTTTTAATTTTTGTAGCTATGAACATAGTGGTCTATAATACTATGTAAGTTATCTATAAGACTATTATAATTATTAATGGATAACATAATCCTAATAATATTTGACAATTTACAAAATTCCCAAATTATAGCTTAAACAACTTACAGCAAATCAGTATCAATCTATATGTTATCAAATAAAAAATCTGACACAGAAGAGTAACACTTTTGTAATATCTTTAAAAATAAGAATAATAGAATATAAGTAGAATCTGATGCAAGTTGTTTTTTAAAGATTCTCAATGGTTGCTACTCGGAATCTTGTCATAAACGACAGGTACCATACCTAGGACACTTTTTTTTAATAATGATGTTTTGTAACCACCGGTACATAGCTTGTCTTTATAGTGAGACCTTATAGTTGTACTCCGGTTAGTTGTATCCTTTAAAGTAGGGAATAATTTGATGTTACTTTTGACAAAAATAGAAAGTTCTAATATGTAAATGCAAGGAAAATTTAATAGTTTACTATTTACAAAGTAAGTTTTGCAGCTGTCTGTAACATTTAGTTTAAAACAGTGTTTTTGGGCTTTAAAAATATTTTCCCGCTCACACCAATTGCCCAGAATATAACACCAAATCTCAGATTTGACACTACCAAGCCATGATAAGAGACTAGTATTGCATCAATGTTTACTATTTTGGAAAGTTTGTGCAGTACATATACCGATGAACCTAGTTTTTTGCAAATAGATTCTGCTTGAGGTTTCCATGTAAGATGGTTATCAATTAGGATGCGTAAAAATTTTGCTGTTTTTGCTTCGTCGACTATTTGACCATTATAATTTATTTTATTTAGGTTTTCAGTTTTTATATGTTGGTAAAAATGCATTTTTAACTGATACCATTACCCTTAAAGTCGCAAGATATTTTTAGCAAATAAAAACAACTGAAAATAGTTTCAAAGGTTTATTTGACATATAAAGAAAGTCAGAAAAATACAAAAAAAATAATCAAGCTTTCGCTTTTTGGAAAAACCTATGTATAATATACTATACATTGCCACACTCGCTGAAAATACTAAGTTATTGGCAATGTATATTATACTATACATTACCCTATATGAATGCTTGGTGTGGTACACCAAAAAACAGTTTCTGCCCTTAACATAACAAAGATATACATTGCATTTAGGACACATTGTACTTCCTTGACCTCCTCTTCAATATTTGCATCGTTGGTGTACCCGGTTAACTGAGGCCAATGATCAAATTTGTCGTACCGCACATCATCATAAGGCCTTTCTGCCTTCGGTTTTCTAATTTTTTGTTTTCTGGTACTGATACAATGTCTTTTACAGCCACACTTCTATCTCTTTTCAATAGTTCAGCATAAATTTCGCACTGAAAGTCTTTTAGGCAATCTTGCTTCCTCTTTTTATTTATTTATATATCATGTCTGCGGCGTAACAGCTAAGCATTATTTACGCAGGTATCTAAAAACTGCGAAAATATGTTCGTGTAACATCTGTGAGACTTAATACCCGTTCGATATAATGATATTAGCATATCCGCTAAATCTACACCACCCATGTAACGGTTATAATGCTTGACTATTTGTGGACACTGTATTTCAACGTGTCTTTTCCATTCCTTGCGGTAGTGCTTGATATTTTCAAGCAGAAAAGCATCAACATAACAACTAACAAGCCTGACATGCTTGTTGTCAAATCACTTCACTACACACTTTCACTGTATTTATGGAAACTGAAGGAGCAGTACGTTTTCTTCGGGTGCATGTCCCTAAAGGTGTGGCAGCCGCGATAGGAATAGATAGTAAAGATGGTACAGAAGATATCAAAGGTATTGCATCATAATTGCATTGCGTAGGGCTAGGAAACACGGCGTGTCAGGGGAACTTGAAAAGTCTCTTGTTCAGTATCATTATCTGATGCTTCTGCGTATGAGTTCGTCTCTTTCTCCGATGGACAGGGTGATGAATTAGAACTCCCGAGAATGGTCAGCTTTTCAAATGAGGAATCTAAAGACGGCGTTGGGAAAGTCTCGCCTTCTCTAGCTTCATCACTACTATTTGCTCCATTACTAGTATCAGAACTAGCATTTCGTGCAGGAACCAAAGAAAATGTGCGTCTGGCTCTTCTGTTCATGATAGTCTAAAACAAACGAAACCAACATGCAGATGCAGACCATCACCCAATGACAAGTCAAGCACTTATATAACTTTTAATATACTAAATCAACCATAATAATGTTAGTTTCAACTTGCAATGTATAATATTGTGTACAAATGCAATTAGTGGTTAATAGTAGCGGTTGTAGCAATGTATAGTATGCTATACAAATAAAAATGATGGCAAGTAGTAGCGTTTGTAGCACTGTATAGTATACCATACATAGTAAGAAACAAGTAAATATAATCCAAGATAGGCGATTTGTAGGTACCTCAAGCAACAAAATGCTTTGTATAACTCTTTACCTTTTCGATTCATGCGTTAGAAATGTGCCATGAGTAATATTATAACGAAAATGAATAAAACTTACCGTGACAAACATTTCTGAGTTCGGTGTGTTCGTTATTTTTTGACAACTAGTTTGAATTTACCACAGATTATCTGTAAAGTGTTATTTTGATATCAAAATAAATGTTCAGAAATGTGATTTCTATCTAAATCATGTTAATACACCTTTCCGAAGTTAAGTTATATTTTTTTAAACTAAGACGTATACTATAATATACAACGTCACTTTAAGGGTTAAAATATTATGTTAAAAAACCTATCATGTATTTTGGTGTATGCTATGTTGGTTGTCCTTAAATAAATAAAAAAATAAAGGATCTAACAGACGGGCCGTAAAATAATATTGTCATCCATCCTATTGCTGGGTTGGAGTAGTGTTGTTTTGACTTTTATAAGGGGTCATCTATAAATTATATCACACGAATTTCAGGATTGTTTGCGCCTCCCCCGTCCTTGTCACGACTAATGACATTTGTGAGACCCTCCCAGTGTGACGTCCCATTTTGCCAAATTACGTATGTAGGTATAACAATTTTTGAATGAAAACAGTGGTTACGAAATCAGTTTTATTTCTATTTAAATTTCTTTAAAAAAACATTAATATCAAAATATAAAAACAATATTTTGTGTTTTTTAATAGTTTTTGAAATGTGACATCACAAAGTTTAGATCTCTCTATCCCCCTTGTCACACAATGTCACACTTCGTCAATCCCCTCCCTCCCCCTTGTCGCACAATGTCACACTTCGTCAATCCCCTCCCTACCCCTTAACGAGACCCTAACGGGTAACCGGGACTCCGGCTCGACGTTCAGGAGAAGGAACGGGGTGGTTTTTAGTCAGTAAGAGTCTGACACTCCCTCTCGCCTCACCCAGACGGGAGCACTAATTCGACGATGTTTCCCCCTTAAAAAAATGGTTGCCTGTAAAGTCGTTTTTACGGGCGAAGATTTTACGTGACAACGTCTTTTTCTCGGTAGAATATTTATTTATTTATTTATTTATTTATCATTTTATGTACCTACACCACACAGACAATATTACACAGGACAACACATTATAAACATGAGGTACATAGGTACTATTTATTGATATGAATATAATTAAATTGCACAATAGGAACAAGGAATTGAATGAACTAGTGCTGCGCGCGCGGCAGACCGATCATAGTTGAGTGGGAGAGAGACGCAAGGCATTCGGCGGGCCTCTCTCTCGTTCGGTGACTCATCGTAACGTTACCGAGCGTTACACTTTTTCATAAGTGACTCCCAGCCGCAACCTAATTTAAGACGTTGTCACGTCAA